GAATAAATGTCTTTTTAGTTTAATTTGACTTTAATTTTTTTTATTTGAAAAAAAGGTCTACTTGTGAGCTAGGCGCATGTATTGCAAATTTCGTTAATTTAGACAGAAAGTGTAACGATTGCAATTTAATACAAAATTATAAGGGAGGTATTTGCATATATTCAAACGTCAGGGAGGTCATCTGCAACAATTCAAAACCACAAGGAGATAAAGTATTTTTTATCTAAAAATTAAATCAATCTAATCATTATAATTTTATTATTATTATTATTATTATTATTATTATTATTATTATTATTATTATTATTTTGATCGGCAAATGTTAATTGTTAGTTGTTAGTTGTTAGCATTTATGGGAGAAAATCTTCTCACCTTTAATAAAACACTTAAGTACTTACACTCTCCTAATTTAACTCCCCTAATAAGAATTAAACTCATGACGTCCTTGCACTCCCTTATTTTGTAGCGTCTATTTTTTAAAATAATACACTTTCCCTTATTTTGTAGCGTCTGTTTTTGAAAATAATACACTATCTCATAGAATTTTTGTTTTTGTTTTTGGTGCACACCCTAATGGCACTAGTTTGACCGTAGAAAATGGAGAAAGTTTTGATTTTTTCAGAAGATGCTCACTCCATCAATGGAAAAAAATGTTTTGCATAATGAAAATGAGACTATGAAGTTTGAAAAAACTTCTTGATATGTATATATTGAGAAATGTTGCATCAACTTAGAAAATATAGTTTATAGTTTTTTTAATAACATAATAGTCAACCAATAAGATAAGTTTGTTTGGCTAGAATTCTTGTACTGCACCAAAAAGTCAGTGTGATTTCTTTTGTTTGTTGTTTGATGTTTATTATTATAATTGTAATTCAACGAGTTCAAAAAAAAAAAAAGAGTTTGTCCAAGATCACTAAATTTGTTCATCAACGATCATTCACAAGTAATCACTAGAAATGGATATCATTCGGCCGGACAGGCTTAATAAAAGATTTTCTTTCTACCCAAACCCAGGTCAATCTGAATATTGGAAATATATAATCAACCCAAGCCTATGAGAAGCCCGCCATGGTAATAACAAAAAGTGGAAAAATGCCCAAAAAGAAAAACAGCAATTTATGACAGCTGACAAGAATTATGAAAAAAAATGAGAGATGAAACTGTGAGCATCTAGAAATTGCAATTAGTCGTTTAATTGCCCATGGTTTGACAAACAGATAAAATCATAAACAGTTTGCAACTACCATTCAAGAGATTTATATCCACATTATTACGTATTTTTTGTAGTAAAAAAATAATAATTTGTAATTCAAAAATAAAATTATACGTTCTTGTGACAACATTATACGTCTGTTTGGTAACGTTTACGTTTTCAGTTTATATTTATAAAAAATTTATAAACTGATTTTTGTTTATTTTTAGAAAAAGATAAATTACGAACGCGTTTGGTAATTGACAAAATGTTTAAAAAAATTTAAAAATATAAAAAAGAGTGAGAAATGGCAAGTGGCGGCGGAAGACGGTGGTGGAAAGTGGTGACGGTGAGTGGTGGGTAACTGGTGGTGGCGGGTGGGTGGTGGTGGTTGGTGGGTGGGTGACGGTGGCGAGTGGTGGGTAGTAGCGAGTGGGTAGTGGTGGTGGTGGTGGTGGCGGATGGTGGGTGGTGGTGGTGGTGGCAGGTGGGTGGCGGATGGCTTGCTGAAAGGATGGAGAGGATTTTTGAAAAACAGAACAAAAGTCCTGTGATAAAGAATGTTATGAAAATATACTTGTTGAGTTCTGTTGTGATTTTAAAAGAAAAATGAACTTGTTGAATGATGAATTGAAGGCACATGTGATAATTGAAAGCAGGTGTGATTCACTCTACACTTTCATTTTGCATTGCAAGTGTATGCTAAAATGCCTCAATGAAATGCTTTGTGAATTGCCAAATTATTGTTTCTAGACTTAAATTTTTTTTGGGTGAATATCTAGACTTACATTTTGCCTCAATGAAATGCTTTGTAATTTTGAATAACAATGGTGGGTGGTATAGGTGGCGGGTGGTGGATGGTAGTGGCGGGTGGTGGGTGGTGGTAGCGGGTGGTGGTGGTAGGTGAGTGGTGGTAGCAGGTGGTGGGTGGTGGTGGCGGAAGACGGTAGTGGAAAATGGTGGCGGGTGGTGGCTAGTGTTGGGTAGTAAAAAAAAAAAAAAACTCAAAACTCAAAACAGAAGCACATTTTTTGAGTTTATATTTTTTGGCCAAATTTATAAACTGAGACCACTGATTTATAAATCAAAAATTTATCAAACAAGTTTTTATTTGAGTTTTTTAAATTTTTGTAAATATAAACAGAAAACTGAAAACGTAAGTATTACCAAATAGCACCTATATATTTTTAGAGGACTGATTAAGACCCCCTCAAAACTCCTACCCCTACCACCCCCACACACACGTGGGGGTTGGGGATTGGGAGAGAAGAAAAAAAAAAGAAAAAAAATAGAAAATGGACCAATCAAAAGTAAAGGAGTGGGAAAAAGGGGGTCTTAAACAATTTTGATATTTTTATAGTAATGGCAAACTTTATGCAATAAAAAATGTTTTGATGAAAAAAATGTATAATATTACTACAAAACTGTATAATTTTATTTCTAAACTAAAAATTATCATAACTCAACAAGAAAAACACGTAACATTTATCATAATATACATGACAAAAATAAATAACTGGACCTAACCTAAGAATGGTCTAGCAACAATTAAGGTTAGGGTTTATAGATAAGAAAACAGAGGCAAAAGACAGTTTGCATAGTTGTTGAATTGCTTATTTCTTTTTCACATGTATGGCAAAACACTCTCTCTCGTATCTTAACTAATTATCAATCTTAACTAATTATTAATTAATTATCACTTATATGTAATTGAGTTTAGAAAGTAAATTTGTATGTCATTTTCCTTCTCTTTATATTGAAAATAATTTTCCATTGATTGAAAAAAAAAAAAAAAAACACTTTTACTTGCCTGAGTAGTTACAATGCATCAAAGAGAAATTACTATACCAAACAATTTCAAGGAATTGAACACGATCTTTATTAGATTTTTTAAAAATATTTTTAGGATTAATTTATATAATTTGAAATATTAATAACTAATACTACTTTTATAATATATATATATATTATATATATATATATTTAAATGAAAGAGATAGGATTGTTTCTAGTTACAAAAGTCCAATTCTTTTAGAAAATTTTGAAAAATTGATGAGTTTCAAATCCTTGTCTTTTTATCTCACACGTTTATAATCTTTTTTTTTTCTTTTTTTTTTTTGGATTCAAAGTCACATTTATAATCACACAAACACATTACATTTAATTATTTTAAATTTAAAGAAAAATTGACTAGAGAAAACAAATTAGACAATAAATAAATAAATTGAATACACAAATAGTGTTCTTTAACCGCCATAAACAGATGCATGTGTAAATATATTAACAGACATCCAATTAAAAAAGGGCCTTTCTAAAAAAAATAAATAACTAAAAAAGAGGAAATTACCATTTACGGTATATTTCAAAAAAAATTTACACAATAGTGAAAAACTACAACACAGTCAAAAGAAAAACAAGTTGTACCTGATATTAGGATGAAATTCCTACTGCAACAGCAATCTTTAAGCTGGAAGACATCTGGTATAATTTTCCCATTAAAAAAAAATGATCCCAAAGAAAACAAAAATAGAGAACAGACAACATAAGATTCCCAACCAACGCAATTTGATTGGTTGTCGATCCTCAAACCGAGTTTAGATGATTCGAGATTGCAAGTTCTGTGTTTCCGAACAGGTGCCCCCTTGAGACAGCTTGGCAGTCTTCTCTGACATTAGATGTATTTCCCAAGAACAATGCTAAGAGGTCATAATTTTTGTGGTTATAATGGCTCAAACTGTCAAAACGATATGGTTTTGACATGTTTTGCATTCAAAACGACGTCATTTTGACAATTTTAAACTATTATAACCATAAAAATTATAACTCTCAAACATTTTCCTTTTCCAGGCGTGGCCTTTTTTTTGTTTTTTTTGTTGGACCAGGCGCACCTCTAACAAAGTGGCAACCCATGCATGTGCTTTGTCATAGTTACCTATAAATTGCGTTGCCTTACAACCCCGGGCCGTGAGGTGTTTGGCTCACCTGGATGTTTCTTCTCCTACAAATTAATATATTGTCTTATCTGCTCAAAACAAAAAAGAAAAAAAAAAATCACATGATATCTCTCAACATATCAACACTTTTATCCGTTCAAAATTTAATCACAAAATCAGTCACAAAATTTGATACAATTTATTCATAATTAATATATGCAGAAAAATCTTATGACTCTTCAATTATTTAATAGTTTTACTTCATACATAAAAATTATGTCTAATTCTTTGATTAAATTATTGAGTCAATATATTTGAGCTGGTCTCACTATCATAAATGGTATATTTCATTTAATTTGTATTGGAAAATACTATGGACTGTACATAAATTATCAAATTTTTTATCAAACCTCTTACATGTGTGTGGGATTTACACAAATCACATGTGTATTGTTCTACACCCATGTGAAAGGTTTGGTAGAAAATTTAGTAATTCATTTGGGATTCTTAGGCAGCGTTTGGTAACGTTTAGGTTTTTGGTTTATGTTTATAAAAATTTTATAAACTGATTTTTGTTTATTTTTAAAAAAACATAAAAACAAACGTAAACGTTATAGGTTTGAATAAACATATTTTTTAATTAAAAAAAATTTGTTAGTCAAAAAAAAAAAATGATGTTTTAAAAACTAACATTTACATTTTTTCATCAAATTTATAAATTGAGACAACGATTTATAAACCAAAAATTTTTATAATAATTTTTAAAATTTTTATAAATATAAATTAAAAATTAAAAACGAAATAATTACCAAACACACCTCCTATTTTTATTCATAAAGACTTCAACCTTCTCATGCATAAATACAAGCATTCCTCATCCTCCAATTCTCTGAGCCAACAATCTTTAGAGACTTCACTCATTTGAAAAGAGAGAGAGAGAGAGAGAGAAGAGAGAAAGAAGGGGAAGATGTCGAAGGAAGCCAGCGAAGATGCGCGAACCCATCACCATGGGAAGGACTATGTGGACCCGCCACCAGCCTCTCTCATGGACATGGGTGAGCTCAAGCGTTGGTCTTTTTATCGAGCCTTAATTGTTGAATTTGTAGCCACCCTTCTCTTTCTCTATGTCACCATCGCCACGGTCATCGGTCACAAAAAGCAAGAACTTTGTGACGGGGTTGGCTTGCTCGGCATCGCCTGGTCCTTCGGTGGCATGATCTTCGTACTCGTTTACTGCACAGCCGGCATCTCTGGTACCACCACAACCCCTTCAAACTTCAAATATTTCAATATCTCACTAGTTATTTTGATTTTGAAAGTAAAAGTTGTTTCGAAGCGAAAAAATATTTACATCATGCATTAAAGAGCAAGATTAATATCCGAAAATCCAAGCAAATTTTGCCATCATGCAATTTTCGGTTAATATTTCTAAAATACTTCATGCATCCCCTCTGGTAAAACTTTTTGCTTGCTTAATAATAGTTGGTTTAAAAAAAAGTTGTCTTTTTTCAATCCTGTACTTGTAAAATTTTTATTTTATTATATTTGTCAATAAAAAAATAAATAGTTTATTTTAAAAAACACATTTGTCTATATTTTTTTAAATAAATATGTTAAAATAACAATGTTATAATTACATGATTGATTTAATTTTTTTTAATAAAAATAAAGGCCGCTCAAAAATAAATAATTCAAATTAATTTTACTGATGTTAAGAATTAATATATTAAGGCCTCGTTTGGAAACTCTCCCGTTTAGTCAAAAAGTCAAAAAGTTACTAAAAAAAGTTAAAAAGTCAAAAACTCATACTAAAAAGTCAAAGATTCTTTTTTCTCTTTACTTTTTGCACATCTTTTCGTAAAAAGTTAAAAAGTCATCCCAAACATATTAATTTTTTTTAACTCATATTTTAGTCAAATAGTCAAAAAATTACTAAATTAACATGTTTCCAAACGAGGCCTAAATTACAATAAAAATATTATAGTCACTCTATCGATTTACATCTTGAATGTTTAAAGAGACAAATTGATGGATTACTGGGCCAACTATGCATAATTTGAATTCAATAATGATTCATCCCACTAAAAATATCACCACTAATAGCACTAATACATTAAAAAAGTAAAAAAAAAAAAAAAAAAAAAAAACAACTTCAAGACCAAAACATCACATCATTAATGACGGGACTCACTGTCACCTAATTAATGGGAACACTAATTAGTGCTCCAAAGTATTTTTCATTTGAATTATCTGATGAACTCGTAAATGTTACTGGTAACAGGGGGTCACATAAACCCGGCGGTGACATTTGGAATGTTAATCGCAAGGAAGGTGACGTTGCTGAGAGCGGCGGCGTACATGGCGGCGCAGTGCTCGGGAGCCATATGCGGAGTAGGGTTGGTGAAGGCATTCATGAAGCCTTACTACAACAGGCTTGGAGGTGGAGCCAATTCGGTGGAGGCTGGCTACTCCAAGGGCTCAGCCTTGGGTGCAGAGATCATTGGTACTTTCGTACTAGTCTACACAGTCTTTTCCGCCACCGATCCGAAGAGAAAAGCTCGTGATTCCCACGTCCCCGTAAGTTGCTTTCTGTACTCTTTTTTTTTTTGCCATGTAATGTAATTTAGGCTCATTTGGAAACACGGGCTCTGCTGGAGACGACATGGTGTGTTTGGTTGAAGGATTTGGAGAGAAATTTAGAAAGGAAAAAAGAAAAGGTGTGTGAAATTATGTGAAATATATATATATTTTATTCACATTTCACCTACTTTTTCTATTTTCCTTTCCAAATTTCTCTACAAATCTCCCAACCAAACACAACATCAATCGGGCTGACCCCAGCGCCCCTGCCTCCACTTGGGACTGTGAAAGCAAGATCAAAATAAATAAATAAATAAATAAATAATTTTTAATCAATCAAAAATCAGTAGAGGTTGTGAGGTCACTTTCCATGCGATTCCAAGGTATTTTCCTTGGAAACACAATTATAAGCTGCTTTTTGACTGCATGCTCAAACTCCAAAAATAGCTTTTTGTGGCCACGAATTAATTTGGAATTGTGGTTACGAGTCAAAAGAAAATTACAAAACTACCCTCCAAAAGGTGGAAAATGAGCTACATGGTGAAAATGTGTATCTTCTAAATTGGATAGGGTTATTTTGGTCAATTGACATTAAGACATAAGTACATGATAATATAAACAAATATTAAATAAAAATAGTCAAAAAATAATTTTTTACGAACTTTTCAAATGACTTTATGAAAAAGTCATAAAGTTTAGTTAAAAAGCAAATTATAGCTTTTTATCATTTTTCCAAAATACCCCTTAAGCTTGGTTTGATATTAAAATAAAAATAAAATTAAGTAGTTTTTATTTGGACACTTAGGCCAAGTTTGGCTACAAAGAAAAAAGTGCACTTATTTCATCTTTTTATCTTTTTTAGGTCACATCAATCAACATCTCCTCTCTACTTTTTCTACACATAATACAAAAAAAAGTAAAAAAGTGCACTTATTTAGTCTTTCCAAACTAGGCCTTATTAGATCAGAAGTCCTGAAGTTATAGGGTCAATAAGCTCAGTTTTAATTTTTTTAGTCAAAAATATATTATTAGTTGAAAATGATACTTATTTGTCTATCTGTTCAAATGTAGCCTATGTGCACATATGTCGTTTATCTATCTAAAATGTCATTTATCTGTACACGTGTCACTTATCTATTCACTCATATATCTAATATCACTTATTTATCCACTTCACAACTACCAGCCACCGCTGTTGGCCAATGACGACTTTTCGATGATTTTTTGGACCACTTTTAAGACGTATCTTTGTCACCAAAAAAGATTAAATAAACCAAATAGCATATAATTTCATGTGTAGATTTTTTGACAATTAACCCTTTAATATTTTTTAAAATTATTGCTAAAAAAATGATGAGATCAGTAAATGCCAAAAAAAATATTATTACTTTTTCTCATTGGCAAAGTTTAGGTATGTTGATGTTTTTTTTTTAGTGTACCTTCTGTCATGTTCAAATTTAAATTTGGGGGAATTTGAAGGACTTGTGGGTCCACAATCAATCCGTTTTGATAATCCAAACTATTTATTTTATTGAGTTTTCAGTATATATCATCCGTAAAAAAAATTAAATTATCTGATAATAATAATTATTAAAAGAACAAAAAAGAAAAAGAAGTATAGTTTGAGAGTTATGATTCTATGTGATATGGAACAGGTGTTGGCACCATTGCCAATTGGATTCGCAGTGTTTATGGTGCACTTGGCTACCATTCCCATCACTGGCACTGGCATCAACCCTGCCAGGAGTTTTGGTCCTGCTGTCATTTTTAACAACGACAAAATCTGGGATGATCAGGTACCTTCAGTTATTTTATTTTATTTAAAAAAAAATTTGTGTATTTTTTACTTTTAATTTCACTTTTATCCATTAAAAACTATTATTTTTAGAATTCACTTTTTTAAAAAGTTTATTTTTTTATTTTCTATATTTTTTTATTTTCACTGAATTTTTTTAATATTTAAATATTTTTTTTAATTTTTAAACAAACCTAATATAAATACACTTTAAAAATATAATATTTGTGAATTTTTTTTAAAAAAAATTCACTAAATACTAAAAATACAAAACTACAAAAAAAAACCAAAATTTAGTACATTTTTCTTATTTTTGTGTATTTATAAATTTTTTAAAATATTTTAATATTTAGATACATCTAAGTAAGGCGCATCTAAAAAAGTTTAAAAAAAAAATTACTTAAAATTTTAAAATTATTCACTAAAAATACAAAAAATACAAAAAATAAAAAATTTAATTTCTAAAAAATTAAATTCAGAAAATTAAGGTCAAACAGACTGATTGTCATTTTTTTTTCATTCTTAAAACTACTAATTTTATCGGATTAGACTTGAAGTTTTTATTTATTTATTTTTTATTCAAATGAAAGTTAGGATAGATAAAGTATTGTTTTACAAATCAAAACAGAAACAGAGGGGGAGTACTTAGAGCATCTCCAATGCATCTTCCATAACTTCAAATATGAAGGATTTGTTCCTCCAATCCATCCTCTAAATCCATCTCTATTTGGGAGGAGGATGAGTTGATCCTCCAAATATGAAAGGAGGATGAAAAATAGAGGATACTCTCTAAAATACTATTTATTCTATATTTTTTACTATATTACAAATAACTTTTGATATGTACATTTAATTTTTATAAAATTGACATCATTAAAAAATGTGAAATCATACCTTTAAAATGAGTATAATATTAAACATATTTTACAAAAATTTTAAAATTAAATATTTGTTAATGAACAAAAATTACTTTTTGATGAAAGGAGGATGAAGGGTTTTGAAGGTTTGTGATTGGAGTTTGACTGAATAATAACATACTCTATATTTACTTTTTGAATAAAAAAAATTATTTTCATCCTCTTGGTGAGAGGATTGGATTGGAGATGCTCTTAGGCCTCATTTGGGAAGGGGTTTTTTTAGTAATTTTTTAATTTTTTGGCTAAAATATGATGTAAAAAAAAATTAGTATGTTTAGGATGACTTTTTAAATTTTTACAAAAAAATATGCAAAAAATAGAAAGAAAATAAAATCTTTGATTTTTTAATATAAATTGTTAGCTTTTTTATTTTTTTTAGTGACTTTTTAACTAAAAAAACCACTTGCCAAAACGAGGCCTTAGTCCCTCAAGCTACTGCTAATCAATTCTGCAACTAAAAAGGATTGAATGGTGCTGGGTGGATCCTCTAAGAAGACCTAGTGTTCCTTCTGTTCACACCAATGTTAGCCAGAGCATCTGCACTCTGATTTGCCTCTCTTGGAGTGTGCTGGATGGTGCAATTGCATCTCTTTAACATGAAGTTAAAATCCTCAATTAGAGCTCTGTATAGGCATGTTCTTTCAGCTCCTCCTTTGACTAGCTCCATAGCTGTTAAGGAATCAGTCTCTATATTCTGCATGATGATTGTCAGACCTCTATACAGACCCCATAGTTCAGTTTCTAGACTAGTGCAATTGCCCAGGTATCCATAGTATCCCCACACCCAGGTGCCCACTTCATCTCTAAGCAGCCCTCCATATCCAGATTGGCCTGGATCACCTTTAAAGCATCCATTAGTGTTCAATTTGAGTTTGCCTGCAATAGGAAGAGACCATTGAGTTAGTACAGGTTCTGAATAAAGAAGATTTAGGGGATTGAGAAAGGCTTCCTGTGTTTCCTTGGCCTGTTGTAGAATTATGCTAGAACTGATGTGAGAAGGCTGAGTTTGGTTTTCAAATGCTTCCGTGTTCCTCTCTTTCCAGATTGTCCATAAAGCTGTAATGAAGATGATGAACCATTTGGTACCAAGCATCTGCTTTTTGCATCTCATGTTTGTTTTGATCCATTGTTGAAAAGTTTTACTGTTCTCTTTCTTCCACCAATACTAGTGCAATTGCCCAGGTATCCATAGTATCCCCACACCCAGGTGCCCACTTCATCTCTAAGCAGCCCTCCATATCCAGATTGGCCTGGATCACCTTTAAAGCATCCATTAGTGTTCAATTTGAGTTTGCCTGCAATAGGAAGAGACCATTGAGTTAGTACAGGTTCTGAATAAAGAAGATTTAGGGGCTTGAGAAAGGCTTCCTGTGTTTCCTTGGCCTGTTGTAGAATTATGCTAGAACAGATGTGAGAAGGCTGAGAATGATCCAAATGGATTAGGACACCCTCTCAAAAGGTTCCATATCTTCTATAGTGGTTTGGCACCTGGGACTTGAAAATTTTTAATTTCAACTACCGTGGTCTAATTGGAAATGGTTGTCCAACTCACTAATCACTAGAGCCTAATTTGATAGACAAAATGTAATTTCAAATTTTGAACAATTTAAATCATACAACTAAACACTTAATTCTTTTTATTTATTATTTTGAAATGAGGGATGGAGAAGAAAATGTGTGCTTAGCTGTAGGATGTAAATGATCTAAAATAGTTGAGGCTGCAACTCAGGTGATTCGATCCGGTTGATCGTCTTTCCAAGCTCAATCCAAAATGTAGAGAGATCTGCCTAAATACGAGCTTGAGCCTGAGCCTGAGCCTCAGTTTAATTTAATAAAGTCGGGCTAGGCTTGGGTTACCCAAATTCAATCCAAAAAAAATTATCTTTTGTTTTCTAACCTAATGTATGGCAATTTTTAAAAATAAAAAATAAAAAATATCTGAAAAACATACAAACATGAACAATTATAAGAAATTAATTTGAATTATGTTTACCAAATGATACGAAAATATTACAACACAATACGATTTAATTCAAACGATGAGAGAACGATACGTAATTTATAATGTTTTAGTTTATTATATATAATTTATATATATTAACTGCAGAATTTGAGTTATTGGGTTGTTCAGATTGTGAAAACCCCCACTCAATAAATTTGTACCCAAGTCCTGAGCAAGTTTAAAATTATATTACCCAAGTAGTAAAAATTTACGGGCTGAGTTCGGATTGTTCGAGTTAGGTCCACCCATGTCACATGACTTGGGGGTCGTTGGCAAGTGGATATTTTAGTATAAAAAAATATATCAAAATTCACTAAAAAAATCACCCTAAAAAAAAAAAAATTCAATTTGTACAAAAAAAAATTAAAAGATTTTTTCTAATTTACTCTACAAAGTTAAAGATTCCTACCCATTCACTCTACTATTTGCACATTCTTTTATAAAAAATTAAAAAAAAAATTCCAAACATATTTAATTTTTCCACCTCATCTTTTTATTAAAAAGTCAAAAATCACTATAAAAAAAAAAAGGAAGTAACTTTCCAAATAGAATGAGCAAGAAGATGGCCGTTTGATTATAATTTAGATCGTCAAAATTATAAAATAAACTTTTTACCCATTAGGTTATGTTTATATCATTACTGTATTTTGAATAAACTATTTTCGTTTGGGTTGTATGAACGGACAATAAAAATAAAAATAATAATTTAAGGATGAAAATGAAAAAAATAAGATAATTTAAGAAATAAAATTAATTTATGTTTTACTTTAGAGTAAATTACAAATACGCTCCTTAAGATTTGCTTAAAATACAAATTATTTCATGTGATTTAAAAAATTACAAATATCCCTCTATCTGAATTTTTTATTCAACAAAATTAATTGAAAAAAAATAAAATATCTAACTGTTCTATTATATAATAATAAAATTACTTAAATTATTAATTGAAATATATTTTTAATATCTTTAATTGATAATTTATTAATAAAAATGACCATCTGTTATGAAATTAATTACTTGGGCAAATTACACGAACAGTCCCTATAGTTTGGGACTTGTGTCACTTTAGTCCCTGACTTTTTAATTGTGACACATTTGATCCTGAATTTTGAATCTTATTCCAAATAAGGACAATTGAATATATTATTGCTTAATTTCAAGGGCAAAATCGTCAATTTGATAAAATATAAACAAATTTGATAAAAATAAATGTCAAAAAAATATTTTTGAATATTTAAAAATTATTTCTACCTACTAAAGATAAAATTATATAAAATTGATAAATCTTTTAGACATTTATTTATTTATATCAAATTAATTTTTATTATGTGTTTAGATGATGATCATGTAATGGGTATTTTATTTTATTAGCTTAGTTTCTATTTTTTCAAATGTCAAATATGGCGACAACTTTAATATCACTATTAAACCAATCCATTAAATCAAATCCAAAACTAAAAATATTTTATATATTAAATATATCGATGTGTGTGTGTTTTTTTTTAATTTTTTTTTTCTTTCTTTTATTTACAACACATAAATCATTCAGATAGTGAATAACGGAATCAGACATAGAAAATATTAATTGAAAAAAATGTCTATTATTACATTTTCTGTGTCTGATTTCCGGAATGGTTTCTATGTCTATTGTTATAGGCTTATAGCTAATATGTTGTGGGTGACTATTGTAGTAGTAATTTGTAGTGTATAAAGGGCCCCTTTTTTGTTTAGAACTGTTGGGACGGTTTTTTCTCTCTAGGCCATGTTTGTTTGGGCGGACTGGATTAACATTCCCATGACTAATAGTCTTAGGACTACGAATCCGTTGGATTATGTATCCTATCTTAACTAATAGTCAAGTTTAAAATAATTAGTCCGTCCTTCAATTGTTTAACCAAACATTGGATTAATAATTTTATTGGACTATTAGTCCAATCCCAAGCTCATGTCCACCTAAACAAACATGGCCTTAATGTATGTTAAAACTAGTGTGGTGTGAATTACATTAGTTAAAAATTAATAGTGTCCATTTCATTTGGGGAAATTATATTTAAAAATTTAGCTCTTGCAATAAAATAAATTCTGAATTTTTAATTTTATCAATTTATATTTTAAATTTTTGATTTATTTTCAATCTAAATTTAAACTATTGGTTTATTTTCTTTAAGTAAAATTAAGGAAAAATTAATATTTTAATTATTAAATTTAATGAAAAATGATATTTTAGATATTTTATATATAATTATCTTAAGTTTAATGACTAAAATATCATTTTTCATCTATTTTAATTAACGAAAATAAATTGATAATTTAAATTGAAAATAAATTAAAAAATTTAAGATTTAAATTAATGAAATTAAAATTTTAAGATTAATTTAATTACAATGATGAAAGTCTGATTTTTTTTAATTTTTTTTTCCCTTATTTATAATTTTGCCCTTTCCTTTCGTGGCTGTCAAATGGTGGAAGTTAAAGTACACGTTGTTTGCGGCATCGAAGTATGCAACAGCGAGAGAGTGACAATGGGGACATTTGATTTAGGCCTCATTTGGAATATTATTTTTTAATTTAAAAATTAAAAAATTATTAAAAAAATTAAAAAGTCAATAACTTATATTAAAAGGTCAAAAAAAATATTTTTTCTTTATTTTTTGTATATTTTTCATAAAAAATTAAAAAGTCATTTCAAATATATTAACTTTTTTTACATTATATTTTAACCTAAAAGACAAAAAGTTACTAAAAATGTCTGCTTTCAAATGAGGCCTTAGTGGTTGTGCGTTTGTTTGGGCTTTTTTTAGCTAACTTATGGCTTCTGACTTTTGAAAAGTTATTTTGAACTGTTTGGTTAAACTTATTTCAAACAGCTTCTGATTCTAACAACTTATTTTAAGTCAAAAAAACTAATTCTGAGAAATTACTCACCCCTTGCTTCTGATTGTCAGCTTCTGCTGTAGACATGTTAATTTACCGTTATACTCTTAGATTTTTTTTATTTTATATTTTTTTTAAAATAGAAAAAGACATAAATGGACTATATAATATTATTATTATTTTTTATGAAAAATATAGACAAGTAGTGAATAGTAAAAAAAAAAATTGAAAAAACTACTTCACAGCTTATTTAACAAACACTACTCAGCAACTTAAATCTATAATCCAGCAATTACACCAAACAAATTAACAGCTTCTGATTAAAGTCATAATCCATAATCTATTAAGGTATAATATATAATCTATTTTAACAGTTACACCAAACGAGACTAATATTTGTTGTGATGTGAAATCTTGGATTTAATTTTTATACAGAGGAGTTTGATTTATTTTTTCCTCACTCAGAGTTGTATTAAGTAGTAGTTGAATGGTTGTTGGACTTGAGCTTAGGTTTTGGTAACTAATTATTAGGCAGGCTTTATTGGTCTTATTGACTTTTGAGTTATTAGGGGTTAATAGTGTTATATTTCTCATACTTATTTTTGGTGATAATTATAAATAAAACATCAAAAAATAAGAATAATAAAAATTACAATAACTATTGTAAGGGTTGAGGCGCGGGAAATTCGCTTTCTTTAAGGAGATTCAAGCCTTCTACGGTTAGGCAAAGCCTCACACCGGTGCAGCAGAAAAAACCTTGACTTGTCCCCCCTAGGATACAACAGCCTGACTAAGTCGTACGGTTCACCAATACTGCACAATTGATTGAACTCAAAATTTTATCACATACACCCTTTTTGTTTGCCTGATAATCTCACACAAAATATAATAAAGCAACAAAACTTCTTCTCATCTATCTCAAGATAGGACATAGCTCAATATATATAGGAGAAAAAGCTAGGGAGGTCTTCCTTGGTGGATAAGAAAAGGAAGACTTGGAAGACTTGAAAGGATAAGACTTGGCGAAGACTTATCTTGAAAGACTAGGAAGACTTGATGTGGATAAGAATGAGGAGACTTGACCAAGACTTGGCAAAGACTTGAATGGTAAGTAAACTTGGTAGAAAATAAAAGAAAACCAACCTATGACACATTATAATATTAAAATACCTGCTAATATTCCCCTACCTATTTTAATATTATAGGTAACAAAAACTGAGATTATTAAGCAAATAAGGATATTATGCATCATGGTAGGTGTGCTCTGCATTGAACTTCCATTAGTAAAACAATAATATCTACTCTAGAGCCAATAGTATGTTTAGCATTGAACTATGACTACTTAAAGGAAATAAATAATTATTGCACACACATAATATTCCAGGTGTTCACAAAAGCTTTAAAAGCTAGCACATTACGGCCTTGTGCGATCCCAGGATTCATGAGTGTGTTTGAGAATTAGCCCAAATCTCATAGGTAGCGGCCCCACTACCACACTCACATAGGTGAATTCTATCAAGGGTGCTCCTGTAACTATGACACCCCACTTAATAAGAGCTACAAAAATTCATTAAGAGTTTTTTAATAACTCAACCTCTACAACGTTACGGGATAAATACACTTACATCATAGAGATGGGTAAAAAGTAATTTAGTGCATTTCTCACGGCCATCATATGATCGTTTTTCTCATTGAACCTAGTTACAGGATCTCTGGTCCCTGGGTTGAGTATCCTCATACATGGCTCCTGCTATATTCAATGGGCTTCAACCCCATCCCCCTCGATGTATTCCAAACTCTATCTCTTGCTAAGGCCTAAGTTAATGGATCTGCAAGATTATCACCAGATTTAATATAATCCACATTTATGATACTATTATTCATATAAGATCTCACAGTACTGTGTTTTCTTCTGATAGGTCTGGATTTACCGTTATAATAACGGTTATTAACTCGACCAATTGCTGCGGTGCTATCACAATGAATCAATATAGGTGGAATCGATTTTTCCCAACAAAAGATTTCTTTTAACAAATCTCTTAACCAATTTGCTTCTTCGCTGGCTGTAGCTAAAGCAATAAGCTCAGCCTCCATTGTTGAATTAGCAATAATGGTTTGTTTTTTTTATTTCCAACTTATAGCACCACCTCCCAATGTAAATAAGTAACCAGTGGTTGATAATGAATCACCTGACAAGATATTCCAATCGGCATCATTGTAACCTTCAAGTACTGCAAGATACGTATTATAAAACAAGCCATATTTTATGGTACCAGATAAATATTTCATAATACGCTCAATGGCTAACCAGTGATCACTACCAGGCTTGCTAGTAAACCTGCTAAGTACTTCAACTGCATAGGCAATGTTAGGTCTGGTACAGTCAGTTGCATAACGCAAGCTACCAATCATACTAGCATATTCCTTTTGATAAATTACATCCTCATCCTTTTC